AAGCAAAATCGAAACCATCCACCATTAGAATTGAACACTAATTTGACAACAACTAACACCAGCGCTAGTACGTGTTAACATATATATATTGTCAACGAATTGAATGAATCATTCGTTCATAGAAATTCTCCACTAATATATGCACCAACTAGCAATTGAAAGGATCAACACAAGCAACATGTTATGAAATCACATATATGATAATCAAGAATTTCTTTCTAGAGGCAACAATCAATAATACCCACAATATCCATCCAAAACTAGCAGTATGTGTGATTAATCATTCAAGAAACACTCACTAATCAAGAAAATGTACTCCAGCATACATTATTTATCATAAAATTCAACTATCAACAACAAAAATAATCACACCAATAAAATTAATCACAACAAAATTATTCAATAAACCGCACATAAATCGCACAAAAAAGGTAAAATGACGCAAAAAAAAATCAAACAATAATAATCTAAGAGTAGCGCTGAAAGTACGTAATATCACTTAAATTCGAACACTAAAATCACTTAAATTCAAACATTAAAATCGCTGAAATTCGAACCTTAAATTTGCTGAAAATTCCAGTCCTTCAATCGCTGAAGTTTGAACCCTAAAATCACTGAAAAATATTGAAAATCAAATCAGAAAAATTGTATTATATAATCAAAATTCGTAAACAAAAACTTATTTTCTTCTTTTATATGTAAGAACAGAAGATGTCGGTTCTTGATTCGAATTTGAAATTAAAACCATTTTCTGATTCACGAAGTAGCATAAACTAGGGTTTTTTGTTCTTCAATTAGAAAAGTGAAAATTGAACAAAGCAATCAAAAAACTAAACAAATCTTGAAAAGGATAACGACAATTATTAGATTAAAGTGCGAATTTAGAAATTGAAAAACATGTAAAGAGTGGATCGAATTTAGAGAGAGATAAAGAAGAATATTTTAGAGAGAGAAAAAAACCAATGAAAGAGAAAGAAGAGAAGGGGGTATATCAGGAAGAAAAATTACAATTTTGCCATTATTGTAGCGTGTTTTGGGTGGTTGGATTGAATCTAATCAACGGCTAAGATGTATTCTCATATAAGTGATGGTTCTCACATTAAGGGTGGTTCTCACCAGATGTGTATGTATATATATATACACATATATATATATACACATACATACATACATACATATATATATGTATGTATGTTTGTATATAATTTCAAAGTATATTTCATATGAGCTTTTTGTATATGAAAAAAATTTGTGTTATCGATATTACGGAAAATATTCAATCGATCATATCATTAACAAATTATAACAAACTAGAATGTGCCCGTGCTAATGCACGGGTTATAATTAAGGATATGATTAAAAAAAATACAGAGTATATAGATGCAGATAGTGTTTAATAAAACAAAAAATAGTAACAACAATAACAAAAAAAAAAAATAATAAACAAATTGATTACAAATAAAAAAAACCAAGTGTTGATTCCCTTAACAAAAAAATAAGTCTTGAAATATTATGCTGAATGAATCTAAGTCTTCAATTTGATTATCCTCGCATCTCTCGTTTCAAGTAGTAGGATTCTTCCTCCCATCTTACTTGTAAAACAGATGCAACTATGATATCATCATTTCCTATCTCTGGAACATGTAGTATGAAAGTGAATGTATTCATCGGACGGTTACATAAATACTCCTCTAAAAAGTAGTCTCCAAATTCTTGATCATAAATAACATATTTAGTCATTATGCAGGTGTGTAATTCCTGAATATATGATTAAAGGGTATACTTACATTATTTGTTATCGCTTGAATACTTGATATTGGACAACCGATAATCATCTCAACATATTGGCCAAAGAGTACAACAGATAATGTATTTGTAGTGTCGCCAATTTTACACTGATTCTAAATCTGTTATTATTGATATGGTATAATTAGGTATAATTAGGTATAATGATTTTAAATAAAATAGAAAAGTGAAAATACCTTGGCCTACTAAAGGAGGGGTCACACTCCGCACACATATCAGCTCTCCTTGAGTGTCGACCATGTTTCGGGGTTTTTTGATGTGTCATGCGGGAGAGTTACAATTCCAAGAATGCCCTTCGACGCCTGTGCCTGCAAAATCACGAAGACTCCTGGGGGTAGGAGCTCCGCCTCCGACGATCAAGTTAGTAAAGATACGGGAGGTAGAATGCACGTAATGTAGAAGTTACTTCTCGCGTAATGGGAGAATTCTGCAATTAATATTGCTCGGGGTAAGTGTTTTTCTTTTTGAGGAGTATTCAATGTGAACAACAAATGTTCCAGCCCCCCATTAATGAGGGTCCTTCCACTATTTATAGTGGGGAAGGATGGTTTCCCTTTTAGGGTTTAGAGGACACGTGTCAGCAGAGGATTGGAGCCCTGCTGACCAACGGCTAGATGCCACGTGTCACTAGGCCATTGGGCCACGTGTTTAGGGTATTTTTACCCCAAACAGACCACATGATTCATATCAAATAGGCATAGAAGAATCAATGGATAACACTTTTGCTAGTACTGGAAAGTATTTTACCTAAGAAAAATACATTAAATATTAAATACCTCATGTATAAGAAAATGTCAAATAAATAATGGTTGATATACATAAATTTTGAGCAGCTGAAAACTTATTTAACTTGATCCTTTTAGCATTAAACACCATTTCCATTTGAGAGATACTATTGGCTAATATCTGACTCCAGCTGATATGTTTTTGGACATATCCACCATCCGCATACCTATATGAGTTATATAAATACATAAGTATGCAACATAAACTTACATTGTTGACTATGATGTTTTTAGGCTTACCATCCATGCAGATCATCAGTTTCATCAATATCAGGATCAATAAAAAGCCTAGTACGTCCAACAGTCGAAAGACATGCACCTATTGGAAGGTTAGTAAAAGTATTCAAGCAATGATAATAAAGTAAATGACAACATAGTCTTTCTATGGTTATCTAATTTAAAAAAAGTATTTTACCATAATAGGAGCCAACTGATACCATGAATGCACCCAACACATGATCATGATTAAGCTCATGGAATAAGAAACGACCATGATCATGAGCAAACCCTTCCCATAAAGTTAGCCTCATTGTTTGCATGCTGTAAATCAAAATATGCCTTTTGATTTTTTTTTTTTAAAAAAACTTAACATTGCATAAGTTGTTATAATTACATAAATATATTGTAAATTGTGTAAGATGCTCTTTTTTTGTGCTGTAGAGTAACACATGTCTTTTGAATTGTTGTCTCTCACCTAAGACTCTATGTGATTCAAACACATATATAACCAATCCAATAACATCTGTGTACATTCAACATCAAGAAAAAAATGATATGACCATTAATACTCAAAAATAATTTTAAAAATGCAATAAATATTCATATTATGTATTTTAATTACTAAAAGACACATACCGATGAGAGGAGAATCGGGCATGTGAAGGTACTGTGGAATGTGGCAAAATTCAATAAATCTGAAATTGTACCTTGGGATATCATCACAATCATCAAGAATTTCTGTTATCATGGTCTTGTTACCAAATTTCAACCTCATTTGGTAATTGGTATATTTGTAAGATCTATCTGGAGGCATAAGCTCTATCTGAGCAACTGAATAAACCTTTCCTTGTTTCAAAATCTCTTTATATTTATCAATATCGGTATTCAATAATGTGACTTGACCTTCATCCACCTAGAAATTGAAAATTTCATACATAAGTGTCAAATAAATGAATACATTGGAAAAACAAATTAAGCACTAAGTAAAAATATAGTTCAAACCTCTGAGTCAATGTATACTGTTTCGGGGTTTTTGATGTCCTGCGGGAGAGTTACAATTCCGGGACTGGATCCGTGCGCCTGCACCTGCAAAACAACGGAAACTCCTTGTGGTGGGAGTTCCGCCTCTAACGGTCAAGTTAGTTTTTGTTTGAGGAGAAGTAAGTGCGGAAAAGTAAAGGTTGAGAGATCTGGTTCCTCTAGGGAAGGAGTGATCAGTGTGTTTAGGTTCTCTAGGTGAGAGTAATTAATTTTCTTAATTCCCCTTAATGAGGATTAATTAGAGTATTTATAATTTTAGAAAACGTGCCAAATACTAGGTTTAGGTTAACCTAGGGCTAACTGAGTTTCCCTTGGAAATTGAGCCTAGGTGGCCGTTTGACCTGCTTGGCATATGGAGGCCACGTGGCGTGACACAATTGGTCCATGGTGGACAGATCAACGCCTGACACGTGGCAGGCTCCTATTAGCCCATGTGGCGGACATATGGCAGGGCCTGATTGGTCCACTTGTTAGATGATGATTGGTAAGGAAAAATCCCCTAATCAAATACCATACTCCATGAACGATGGACGTAATTTGTACCTCTAGCTCTAGCTTGTTCATTGACCATCCATAATAAACGCACTCTCATATTCACTTTTAATGTAGTAAGGGTGATAAAACGACATGGTGTGTATCTTGTGTCCATTTCCTGCATTTTAACATCATTTAACTAGGCATAAAAAATAATTTACATAATATATCATTATCGATCCAAACTTGCACATGTATAAAGGTTATATAAATAGTATAGATAATGAAATAAATATTTAATAAAGTAAAATGAAAGCATTAACATGACAAAGAGAATTATATATAAAAAAAAGTATAGCTCTAAAATTACACTAAAAAAACATTGTTAAGAGTTACTAAATTAATGTTATAACAAAACTACATACATAACTAATTTATACTGTTTAATACTTCCTTATACACAATATTTTTAGTCAAACTATTAGAAACATCCTTCTTATTTTGTAGTAAGATTTTTAGCCCGAAAGGAGATGTATCTCGTGACATTGCGACATATAATTGGCCGTGACTAAACATGGAAAAATGCCAACTTTGCTCAACGTTTGTCCTTGGCTTTTATTTATTGTCATGGCAAAGGCTAATTTTAATGGAAATTGCCTTCTTTTGAGAGGAAGATCAATCTTCATTCTTTTTAGAAGGTGTTAAATCAATTCGCGGAATCAGAACTGATTCTATAGCTCTTAGACCTATGATCACTAGTACTTCAACCACCCTATAACCCAACTTCTTGATTATAAGGCGTGCTCCATTGCACAACCCTATGGATTGGTTCATATTTTGCATCAATATTACTGGGGCACCAACTTTCAACTCTAAGCAATGATAAGGAAGACGTGACAAATTTAATGAGTTTAATAATTCCATAGGCTCCATGTTATCTAGGAATCCACCATCTCCTGTATGACCCAAAGTATCCGAACTATAATATCTCTGAACATTTCCTGGCAGCATTGATAAAATTTTCGAATTTAACTCATCTACATCATTGTTTGTTGGTGCTAAAATTCCGTGATCCTTGAGGTACTCCCAATCCGTGTAATTTGAAGGCAAGTTGGGGTAGTCAAAGTTAATGAGATTTTGCAAACCATGTTCATCATCGGTTATCAAAAAATCATGTGGCATTTCAATCCAATTTGGTTCCCCTTCCTCTGTAATGGGCACTCCTGCTATATCTCCTTCTCCAACTTTTGTTATCCAATTAGCAAATTCTCGAATTTGTTCAAGGGTATCGGAGGGAACTTCACTTCGACATAAACGCATGTTTATCCTTAGGCACATAACTTGGCATTCTCTCCAAAAGGACGCTCGATGCAAGGTAGCTACAATAATAGATTCTCATCCTTCATCTCGCCCCGCAGGAAGTATCTGCCTAAAGTCTCAACCAAGAAAAACCAATTTACCTCCGAAAACTCTATTGTGATTATAAATGTCCTTGAAATGTCGATCTACTGCCTCAAAGGCTAATCGATGGGTCATTGGAGCCTCATCCCATATAATTAATGATGCTTCACGGATCAAATCAACATGGGTTGAGTCTTTTTAAAGTTACTAACCGAATGTTGATCAGGATCGAAAGGAATCTTGAAAGTTGAATGTGTAGTTTTACCCCCAAGCAATAATAAAGCAACAATTCCTGATGAAGCCACAGAAAGCACGATCTTTCTTTTGGATCTAAATTTTGCAATCAGAGTGTTCCACAGGTATGTCTTTCCTGTCTCACCACTACTGTAGACAAAAAACAACCCACCTACATCTTGAGAATGAGCATCAAGTATTACAACGCATACTCTATATTGATCCGTGTTTAACCCTCTAACTAAGGTATCAAATCTATTAGCCTCATCACGTGAATCATAATCAAGTTCATCTCTTATCAACCGATTTAAGGCATTGTGTGCTATCTCTGAAGAAGGTTGTGGCATGTTAGGGAAATATGTCAATGACCTTCCAAGTTTATTCAAGATATGCTCAATCTCTTGTAATCCTTGATTTTGCATCTCTTCGGGAGTTAGTCGTAAATTAGGGTTTCTAGTTTGACGTTGCATCATTCTGTCAAGGTCATCAGTAAGTTCACCCCAATGTTGTTTCCACAACCGTTTTGGATCACTTACTTTTGAAAACATCAATATGGCGTAAAACATGTTTCTTAACTGTGAACTCGATGCCCAGTTAGATGCTTCTGACAAAGTTGCATGCCACTCATTATCGTCGTTACGCAGCCCTGAGGCATGACATACAGATCTGAAGGAAGGGTGGATGACACCATCAACAGTTCGTATATCTTCAAAAGATTTTGCTCCAGAAACCTTAGTTAAAAGCATCCGTAAGTAATATCGTTCCCTCGAATTTGAATGAGTAAAAGGTAATCTACCAATGCAAGGTCTATCAATCTGTCGTTGTGTCCACCTTTTTAAAGAACGATCCCATCTGAATCCCGTTGGAAAATTTTGGTAAGTGTATTGATTTAATTCTGGAAAATCCTTGTTAGCTTGAAACCACATAGTTAACATGGTTTGTTGTAATCTCGGTTGTTCAAGGATTGTATGCAGATCATCATTATCATTAAAAACCACAAATTGTTCACCAGGTAGATGAAACTGAAGTAGTTCCATTGAAGGATATTGATGTTGCAAATCAAACTCAAATATTCTCCAGCATGCTTCAATGGATGATACATACCGACAATCGAAGTATTGTTGTATCTCATTCACCCTGTTTGCTTGTTGTACCTCTTAACCACGTCGTGTGGTTGAATTGTTTTCAATGACAACCATTTCTCGATCCTGACCTTTAGTAACATACTTTTATAGATACTTCACCACACTTCTCGGAGCACCACGCTCAACATTTATGTGTGCGTTGTACTTAACACATAGATCTTTGTTGTATGGTACCATCGAGCGATTATCCACCTCCCTTCCATTAACAATGATAGGCTTTTCATCTTGTCTACGTCTATACTGCACAAAGCCTTATCATCAAAGGTGGTTTCCTCGCAAAATTTCTTCGGGAAATGATTTGAACACTTTCCATCTATTAAACATGGCCCACATGGTCTATAGAGCAAGTTCTTGGTAACTGTTTCATATGCCGGATCTCTATCCTTGTCAAGGATTTCGCAGAAATAAGTACATCGATATCCTTTGAACACTTAGGCTTGTCTTCTAGAGCCAATGTTATGAGAATATGCGCATGTGGAAGTCCTCGCTTTTGAAATTCAATGACATAAAAATCTCTAACATGAAATATAACACATGTTAATTTATGTAATATGTCAAGAAATATAGTAAGATTGTATAATTAATCAACAAAACTCTCCAGCAATGACTTTCCCAAACTTCCGTTTATCCTTCAAATCGCAAAGCATTTGTTTCAATTTGATCTTGAAAACACGCACTACAATGTCTGGTCTATCTTCAGCGCAATGACTTCCACATGTAGATATCTCATTTACAATCTCACACCAGTTTGGATTGCAAGTGAAAGTTATAAATAAATCAGGTGGACCCAAAACATGGACAATTGCTATAGCATCTTGATAATAATGGGGCATATTACGGGGGCTTCGTGTGAAGGATGATGGTAATATGAATTTTCGGCCTACATCAATAGCATTCACATCTCCAGCCGCGATTGCATCTTGGATTCCAATGTATAAATCAGAGCGAAGCCTACCTTGATTTCTCCTTATAAAAAGCAATCGATACTGTTCCATTGCAACGTGTGCACCAACAACAAATTGTTGCAATAACCGACCGGCATCTATCAAGGTGTCACCCTCTTCTTCCCTAACATTTATCCTAAATCCATAGAATTTTTTCATTGTCACAGTATTTCGACTGTTACTTGTACCGGACACCTTAGGTATCTCTGCCCTCCATCCATCAATACCATATGGTAAAAATAATAGTGGGTATTGTAAAGGCATTTAACTCGGATGAGTTTCATCAATCCTTTGTAACCCACCATCTACTTTTTGCAATATGATATCTTCATTACTTGTGTCTTAAGTTCCATCTCCTACCATCATTGCCGCCACTTCACTTGCGGTTGGTTGGATATATCTTGCGCAAATAAGCTTTAATCTTAAATCTTGATGTTGACATTGATCGCGCAACATACTTCCATCATTTTTGAATAATGCGACATAAGGATTTATATCATCAAGCATCGTTTGTAGTCCTTGTAGAATTGTTGGATCTAGGGAAGAAGCCTCTGCACGCCCCATGTAATGTAGCCGGTTGGATGTTTCATTGTCAGTGTCATAGATGTGCAACTGTGCAAACTTTGGCCCAGTTCCAGGCTTAGGGAGTAAAGTTCCAATTTGATGGTAATTGCTACCACTTATACGATAACATAGGGGCCTCTACCATCATTAAAGTTGTTAACAATCTGGCCGTCCATAGAGGTGAAAGCTAACATAGAATTAAAATCTCTAATATTGCTTCGAAATTGCTGACATGGAAAAATTGACATTAGAAATGGTGGTGTTAAAGGTAAAAGCAGCAATATAACTTGCCTACTTTAATTTGACAGCTGTGGTTGAACCTTGGGTCTGTTTTATTACTACTCTTTACCCTTTCTTCTATCCACATAAAGGCCTTGCAATTGCAATTAGGACACACAACCGTTCTACGTCCAAACTACCAACGTCTATCAAACTTATCTCTACGACATTGATGAGTCACTTCTGCATGCAAATGATTTATTTAAGTGAATATCAATTAACAATATTGATATCACTATATGTGTGGTTAAGTAGCTTGGCAAGGTGGTTACCTCTCCCTCCGATAATTTTCTCATTAGGTCAATAGCATCATTGTCTATCCCATCATTAGGTGAGCTTTTTGGAATGGAAGTTTTTAAAAATTTTAATAGAATTCTTTATGCAAGGTATTAGTATTATTAAGTAAATATTAATGGTTCTTATAAGTACCATTCATATTGATCTCATTAGGAAATTGTTTCACTTCATGTGTCCCATCGTGATATTAATGTGTAGATCGATGTAATTGCATCATTAATAGTCACAAGGATCGTGCTTCTTTCTCCAATAAGTAACGACGTCGCTTGAAAATAGGATCTTCATGGTTTGTAGTGCGTTTGAATAGTAACATTCGCCTTACAGCTAATCTAGCATGTTTGTGTTGCAAATTCTCTCTAAATCGATAATTACTTGTCCTTATGTCCATTTTAATCCATTAGTTATACAATAACCAAGAAGTTAATATATTAGAACCGATATTATAGTTTGAACGAACATCAATCTATTATTTAGTTAAGTTGTAACAATTTTTTTTCGTGTTAGTATGTTTAAATTGTCATGTTTTATTTTTTCTAATTAGTGACTTATTTTTGTATTTGGTTTTCAAATGGGAACATTTTATTTTTTCCATCTATAGATTTATATTTATACTTGTTTTTCCTTAGTAATAAAACAATATATAAAAACTATTAACTAAAATCTTAAATTATAAGGTTAAGAAATAAATAATTATTTTTAATATTTACAATGTTATAATCCTATTATATATATATACCTCATTTATATATAATGTGTAGTGGCAAATTAATAGCATGCCCCTCTATCCGCAGATAAAAGGCTCAATTCACCTAAATATCCATGCTCATTCACATCACCAAAATTACAGCAAAAATAATGTGTACATACCTGTAGGGTGTAGAAATAAAGGCAAAAAGCAGTCAACGAACTAATTTATGTACTGTAAAAAAAGGAACAATAATAAAATTAATGAACCATCTGCAACTCCATTTCCATATCATTAAACAAAAAAAATCTGTAACTCCATTTCCATTTCATTAAAAAAAAAACGCTCAAACCTATTATCGAATTCTACCTTACAGGTACGTATAAATCATACCCATTAGTATAGGTTTTTATATGGATGCATGCTTACTTTTTAGGTGTCTTTGTATGAATAAGTGGCAGAATCAGATGACGTTGGTGTTTTTTTATATATACATTTTTTTTATTTGTAGTGTTGAAATGATTAACTTTAGGAGTAACATAACGTCGGAATAATTAATTTGCACATTTTATAGTCATTGTTTGCTTTGTTGAATTAAGGTTAAAAAATACTGATAAATAGTGTAAAAATCCATTTTCCTTAATAAGTACGTACAAAGAAATTCTTATCTTAAATTCAAATGTGGAAAATAACACAAATTTGAGATGTCTTAACCATTATATAGACCTTCCAATTCATAATTTGTAATTGCAAAGTCTCAACTACTTTGAT